TGATACTTAACGCCTAGTGGTTCTGAAGATGTTCTGGATTGAACTTAGGCAATTGCGGTATCCAGATTATATCATAATAATGATACTTAACGCCTTCCTAACGAGAGCGTGAAAATTCAGAAATGCAGTAAAAATATTCAGGAACACTGAATTGGGGATTCAACTGTAAATCTACCAGAGTAAATAAAAAAATAAGAAAGTAATAAGTGAAAAACATAGAAGGCATGGTGACGCGGGACCCAGGGGTCTGGACCCACTAGCAGCATTGTACGACATGTGTGACGCTGTTTTCGCATTAAAAAAATGGTTTTTCCGATTTTTGCAGATTTTAAAACCTCTTTTTTTCTGTGAATTAAAGAAAGCAAAAGCATTTTCTGGCTTCTCCTGTCAGCCAATGTGCAAAGAGGCAGCCAATTTCGTCCCCTGTTTTTGAGGATGAGTTCTTCTGTCACCCAATGGGCTGCGTCCTCTGAAGGTCATTTTTCTGTATTGCTGATCTCATGGAGGCTGAGAGCAACGAGCAAGCAACAAGGAAACGTTGCAAAATCACCCCCTACCTAAAAAATGGGCAAAAATGCAATGGATGAATAGTGGAATGCCAATTAAAAAATCAAAAGAATTAAGCCTTTCTAGAACGCGGATTGATTGACACCCCAGCCACGAAACTTCATGCTTTCACAAACAGGCGGCCTGTGGATATCGATCTCCATCCACGGACTGTATGTGTCACGAAAGGCCGCACTTGATTGAAAACGCCAGCAAGTCGTTGTAAAACGTCTCTAGTGGGTCCCGACCCCAGATAGAGCGGGATGTCCTGCTGGATTGACGTCTGTAAAAATCCGGACATATGGGGGAAAAAAAAAAAAGAAACAATAGTGGATGCGGCATGTTTTGAAACTCTAAAGGCACGAAAAACTCGCGTAGGCAAAGGAAGCATGTGCGTACTCGAAATGAACGATTTCGGTCCAAAAGTACCCGTTGGCCATTTTTTGTTTTTTTGTTTTACCCTCTGACAACCGACCCCTGTAAACATGACAGCGGTCTGACACCACGGCCGTCGGTACTTCCGTTGCCTTTTGGAACTCGGAGTGGTTTTCTCTGCCGACGTGTGTTTTCTTTGCCCATTCGATACTCCAAGAGTCCAAGGTGACATGAACGTACATACCTCAAAAAACAAAAACCTACCTCAAGTCACAGAAGGTTCACAGACAAGGGGTAAATTGGGCCTTACCTACCTCAAGGCAGTATCCAGCCCGTGCACCTCTCTCTCTCTCTCTCTCTCTCTCTCTCTCTCTCTCTCTCTCTCTCTCTCTATGTTTCTGTGTGTCTCTCAGTCTCTGTTTGTCTGTTTCTATCTGTCTGTCTGTCTGTCTGTCTGTCTGCCTCTCTCTCTCTCTCTCTCTCTCTCTCTCTCTCTCTCTCTCTCTCTCTCTCTCTCTCTCTCATTTTCTCTTTTTCTCTTGGCGTCTTAATGATGAGTTTTCTCATCCGGACCCTCTTTGGATTTTCGAAAAAGNTCTCTCTCTCTCTCTCTCTCTCTCTCTCTCTCTCTCTCTCTCTCTCTCTCTCTCTTAATGAGAATCAGTCTCATCCGGACCCTCTTTGGATTTTCGAAAAAGCTAGAAAAATGTTAAAAATCCCCAAACTTTTTTTTTGGGTGTGGGCCTTAAACCTTTTTGTTTCCCCCCCCCCCTCTTCTGGACCTACTGAACTGGACGACTACCCGGACATCCAGACGTGGACGGTCTGGACTGGGAACCGGACGTCCGGGTCATAACCATGATAAAAAGTAATGCATTGTTAGGGCCTCGCCGGACGGCACCAGAAACGAAACGAAACGAGCGTCGAACTCGCGGGGCTTCGCGAGGCCCGAAAGCATCGTTTCGTTTCGTTTCTGGCGTCACCGCCGCACAGCACACACGAACAATCTCGCGCGAGCGACCTGACGGTATTCGCGTGTGTTTCGTGTGTGCTGTGCGGCGGTGGGCATTTTCTCCACGAAAGTACCAATACGGGCCTGCGCCTCATTGGGATGGGTACCGGGAACCGCGTGGCCAAAGCGGCTTCCGCTTGCCTGCGGAAGAAGAGTTGTCCTCCGCCAGTTTTCCTCCGCCAGCGACGTGCCCTCCGTGAGCTTTTTTGTTTGGCCGGTGGCGCCATTACCGATCGGACCCGTCTGCCTCCCAATTTAGCGCACGCCTCACATGTGGAGTGGCAGCTGTTTATGCGCCACGTGGACGTTCTGGCTTGGGTTCACACCTGGCAAGTACGGACCCCAGCGCGATCACTGCCAACGCCGGCCATCGCTCCCTGTTGACGTCAACACATGAGGTTGGTCATGCCTCCTCAGCGGGATCGTGCACGACAGGAGCAGGAGCATGGACGATGGGTGCTGCTACTTGTAGCTGTGGCGATCATAGCCATACAAGGCACGCAGGAAATGGAGACACTTGCACGGCAGATGGCATTGCTCCTCCAACACTTCATGCAGATGTCTTTTGAGAGTGATTTGCTGCAACTGGCCGTGTTGGATTCATCCTTCATGATAATGGCGACGGCCATGGCTGTTATGGAGGGACCCTCTCCACCTCGATGGTGGGTTCGGCCGAGGGCAGATGGGGCGTGGCGTAATATGACACGAGGCGATGCTGCTGCTGAAGACTATTACTTCGACAACATCAGGATGGGAGAGGCGGTGTTTCGTGGCCTCGTTGCGAACCTGGAACCATACCTGGAGCGCCAACACACATGGTACAGGGCGCCCACGCCGCCGGACAAACTGGTCGCGTACGCCCTGTACAGGTGGGCAACCGGCGCAAGCTACGAACATTCCTCTGCTTCTTTCGGGATTGGGTGGGAGACCGGGAGGACAGCGGTTCGCGACGTCACCTTGGCTATCCTTCGAGCGTATCCGGACGAGATTGCATTCCCGGGTGGTCAGCGTTTACAAGAGGCTTTCGCGGCGTTCGGGATGAAGGGGTTTCCTCGTTGCTACGGTGCAATCGACTGCACCCACATTTTCATCGACAAGCCCGCAGGGGAGATGGCAAGACCATACGTTGACCGACATAGACGGTTCTCTGTGGTGGCGCAGGTCGTCGTTGGCATGGACCTGAAGATCTACGACGTGTACGTAGGGTGGCCGGGCAGTGTGCATGACGTGCGTGTGCTGATGAACTCTTTTCTACGTGAGAGGGCTGAAGACGGATCACTGTTTTGTGCTGATCTGCTTGCCCTCCTTGGCGGGATTGAGACCAGAGGTTACTTACTGGGGGATGGCGGGTATCCTAGCCTGCCATGGTTGGTGGTGCCTTTTGGAGGGCCTCAAGAGGATGGCTCTGACACGGAGGTGTTCGACACTGCGCAGAAAAGATGTCGTGGTTGTGTGGAAAGAGCATTCGGCAGGCTCAAAGGCATGTGGCGCATGTTTCTGCGCACCCATAAACCTCACATCACTTCGTTGTCCCTGCAGTTCCGTGCCGTGTGTGTGATTCACAACCTGCTGATACGCTGCGGGGTTCAGATGGACCCGGCTCTTGCTCCACGGAATGTGCACCGCCACCCGGACGATGACAACGATGACGACGTCGCTCCGCCACCTCCACC